CTTAAACAGTTTTCTAAAGTGTATTTTCAGTTGAACCAGGAGATAATAACTAAAGGAAGACCAACACCGGAGCTGAAAGTTTTGCTTCGAGACAGTTTGATGATTCTTAAACGGAGTAGAAAAGACATGCCGAGGATAGACTTGGCTTTGGATGAACGGATACTTTCGTGCAGAATTAGCGGTGCATGGATTTCATTGATACATAAAGGTAAGACAGCAATAAGATGTTTTTTTTTATGAAATGTGCGTTTTGTGGGCTACAGTTTGTATGTCTAAGTAATTCAGTAAAGTAGAAGTGGTAGCTAATCTACCACAGCAATTATTTATTAATAAAACATTAAGCCTAAATCGTACTACAACAGACTAAATGTTCTGTTCTGTGTGCAAATTTATTGAATGTTTTTTTGGTGTTAAATCCTAAAACATGAAGTGGCATTGTTGTCAGTTGCTATGGCAACGAGTCTGCATGTAGCGTGGCGAATACAGAGGGAGAAAGTGCTTTCTCGCTCTTTCCCTTTGTTGTGGATCATTCCATGAAATCAATACCTACATTTCTAAGTTTCACTGAGTTAACGCGGCTATGGATGACATGTAAATGATTAGTCTTTTTGCCCCCCAGCGTTGTATGCCTGCGCGAAATTTCCATACGTCCAATAACATGCATTGTCTATAATCGTAAGTCAGTGCCTCACCAGCATTGAACCTCACCGCACCTCACAGATATATATATATATATATATATATATATATATATATATGCTCTCTCTTTGTATTAATCTATTTGCTGTTTCTCCCCGTCACTTTGCTGCTGTTACACAGAAATGTCCCTATTGTGGGACATTAAAGAATATTTCTATTCTATTCTAAGCAGAAAGACGGAATAAGAAAAGAAGAAACTGTAAAAGTGGCAGTTTTCCATCAGTTTATGCTACAAACTTTTAAAGTTTAAAGTACAAGTGTGAAGAGCTGAGAATAGAACAAACTGAAATATTTTTCCTCCTATATTTGTATATAGCTTTCATGAAGCCCTCAATTTCTGCTGGACACTAAAATGCTGCAAAGTCTCAACCAAAAACACAACTAAATGAGAAGGAATGACAAATTGATCACACCTCTAGAAGGGATTACCACATGAGGAAAAGCTCAAAACCCTTGGAAGACTGAAAACTTTTTCCTAGAATACGAGGCTTTATTTGTTTTCCAGTATATGTACAAGACCTCAATCCCATCTGCATGGCTATGTCGTAAGTAAGGTACATTAAAATAGTATTAGAAACAACTATAAGCATAACATGCTTTAATAGTCTAGCATCTAGAATCATATCATCTAAAATGAATCTGAAATTGAACCAATATGTTGTAAAAAGACCATATAGTAAATATAGGGATTCAGTGGAGGGATGTGATAATACAAAGTATTAGCCTCAGCTGGCTCTACCCAATAAACCGGTCAATGGGTTTATGCACAATAAAAAGGCAGCAAGCAAAAATGAAAGGTTTCACAATCCCTCTGAAACTTCTTCTTATTTCAATAAAACACACAGAGATACTTTAAAAGTCTCACTGCAAGATAAAACCGACTTTTTTTTGCCACATATTGCTCAGAACACCTTGGAACAAGAAATAATGTATCACATAGGGAAACTTTCACGTTGATGACATTGAACGCCTAAATTTTTTTTTGGGCCATTTACATATGCAGGGAAAGTAGGCACATCATCAGCAGGAAGGTCCTGTCCGTCTATCCTATCAGTCTGTCTCTCTGTCTGTGTTGAATGGTAACACTACAAGTGGTTGCTAAAGGACAATTTTGGTCCGATTTGAGATGGAAAAGCTCAAGAAAAATTGCTTTAGCAGAAAGGGATCTCACAGAAATACCGAATTACACCACAACTTGGAGAACCACTTATCTTGGCAAAGTGAATGGGATAAACTGCACGGCCCTGGTGAGATGCTGGTCGACAGTTCAGCTTGTTCAAACAGAATGACAGTAATCTTGGCCAACACTTCAGTCTCAGAACGATGACAGGTTGATTGAGGTACGAGAAGCAATCTACTGGAAGGTCCCTGGTTATGTGAGGACTGAGCGAATGAGAGAACTTTGCGTTGACAAAGGCACGGGGAGGGCGAGGAGGTGAAGGGCAGAGCATGAGCGTAAAGAGACCCTCTGAGTAACCAGCGGCGCAGATAAATAGTGTGAAGAAAGACTGAAGGGGCTGGAGACAAACAATGACAGGAGAAGCGATCTGAAGATACGGTGAGAGCAAAGAGCGAGCACTTACAGATACAGGTAGGTTGGATCCCGGTCCAGGTAAGATCTGGCAAACACAGCCGTGTTGTGGAGCCTTGCAGTATGTGTCCCTGTTGGCACTGGAAGTCTACTCTGCTCCCCACCTGGCCACAAACAGACAACAAACAGAGAAGGAATCAATACCCTGATGCAAATGCCAATAAGCTCCCAGCTTCAAATCTAAAGAGCTTGGAAATAATACTGAACACTAAATGTTTCTTTTCTCCTTAGTAATGATTATCTGTAGAGTGTTGTGGTAAAAGGGAGAATTATTCCAAAGCTGATGTCCTATTTTTTTTTTTTTTGTTTTGTTTTCTTATCTGATATGGAGAGTAGAAGGGCTTGTCTGTTTTCTAGAGTTTAAATAATTTTGTTTATATTTTCAGTAGCCATTCCAGTCCACTCCTTAAAGACAGCATGAAGACAGATTATTCTCATTTGGAAAATGTCAAGATGTGGGTAAAAGTTGCTCGGTAATGCAGAACGATGCAAGACTGCATACCATTACAAGCACTAATCTGTGTAAGCTGCTCCTGCCTTTATTGTGACACTTTTCATATCAGTGATTCTGCTGAATGTTGTGAAGAAATTGTTTACACTTAACTTGCAACATTCGCAAAGTAAAAGCGTGCAAATAGAGTGAAATACGTAGAGTGAGAGCTGGCAGGGGTGCTGTCAAGCACACAAACATAATGTAGATTTTTGTGACAATTCAAATTTTGCAGTTTCTTGTCTCATGCAAATCTTAAAACTACAGACATTTTAAAAGTACGATTTTACTGTAATGTTTGTGAAAAATGAAGAACAGTCTATTGTTGTAGAGATGAATGAGGATCCTTAAATAAACAAAGTAACAAAGCACCAATATTGAGGAAAGTTGGGAAATCACACTAAATTAATCTCTGTTACGACCTCAGAAGCATGTAAAAATGTTCTCAAAATGCAGTAATATATTATTATATAAATTATGGATTTTACCCATAACTCCATCAGAATCTGTCCATTTCAAAAAGATCCTCATAGCGTAAACAGAAAAATGAGGTGAGCTTTATAACTTTTTCACCGTATCATCACTGTATATGGCTTTCACAGTAGAGAAAATGGGCATCCTTCTGTAAAAACAAAGTCTAAAGTTGAGCCAAAGTTGTAAAGGAACCTAAGGTTTATGTGTTTCCATCCCTGCTGAGGAGTGCTGACAGAGCTACCAGCCAAAGCGTTGCCTACAGTGTCTTGTTGAAAGATGGTTTGAATTGTTAGAAGATTCATAGACCGAACTGCCAATATTTCAGCCTACAGATGGCTGGAAATCAAGTTGTAAGGCCGTACTAAAAAAAAATTTAACTTTAGTGTTGCCGATAGTGGCTGGTCTATTCTCATACTATTTATTTATTTTTTTTTTGTTTGTTTTGCACTCATCTGAAGAGCTTAAGTGCATAAAGACGTCACTAAATTAGTTTTTTCTCCCCGTCATCTTACCTTGAAACCTGTAGAGTAATTCATGAAGCCATGCTCAGGTATTCCTGGGTTTTCACATGTGCTTCTCGTAGGCTCTGCAACAAGAAACCATTGTGGCGATAAGGGATTGCAAGGGAGCAAAGAGGACAGAGTGACAGAAAGAAAAAGATTGATAATCAAAAAGTCATTTTTCTCAGGAGTGGCTTGTACAGGCAGACAGTAACTGAAGTGGCTTGCAAACGTGAGCAGAATCATCTAGGAATGATTTATTTCTTTCACAATGAATTTTGAGCCTCTGAAATTTGTTGTAAAATGAATACTAATTTGGCTCTTATCTGAATGTGATGAAACTTCTCTCCACCATTTAAGTCAAACACAAAAACACGTTAACATACTGCCAACGGACAACATCAAAACCATCCGTCATGAATTAAGAATTGAGCCGATGGGCATCTCACTGTGTGTTGCTCTTGTGCAAAAATATTTAATGGTTATAATATAATGATTATTAATTTAAGTCACAGTAAAAATGAACAGATTTTTATTACAAACAAAAACGACATATGACCATTTTGTGAAGAAATGCAATACCTATACACCGAGGTTGAGAACCGCTCCAAGTACCATCCTCCTGGCAAATGCGTGTTGTCACTCCAACAAGCACATAGGGGGCGCTGCAACTGAACGCCACCTCTGACTTGAATATGAAGCTGCGTCCTTCTCGCCGTCCTTTGGAAGGCACGCCGGGATCTCCACAGAACTTGGCTGCAGATACAAAGTGATGTCGTAGACGTGTAAAAACAAAGGGAAACAGGAAGAGGAAGTGATGTTTGAGCTCTTCATCATCACTACACCTCTCTTAGCAAACTGGTCCGTCTCAATAAATGAGAATCTTGTTGAGAAGGTAATGTATTTTAGTAATTCAATTCAAAAAGTAAATCTCACACTTAGTCTTGTCGCAATAAGCAATCAATCAATTAATCGCATGATAAATTAAAACAAACTCAATAATTTCCATTTGCATGATTTATCATTTTTTCCCCGTTTTTCTCTTTCTTTCCTTTCCACCAAAAAAATGGATGAAAAATGTCTCCAGTCTTCCAGTTCTTTGGTCTTAACTAACCCTTTTCTAAAAGACAATTTTGTTCACAGAGACTTCATTTTATTTGAAGTTTTGTTGATAAGAGTCTTCAAGTTACAGAGTTAAATGTTCATTAGAATGTATTAATCTTTGAGAATGAGTTATTTCATTTCTATACCATTACTGAAATGATGAAATGAAAATGATCTCAAAAGAACAATATTGTTGTTTATTGCAATAACTTCTGGGACAATTTACTGTCCAGCAAAATTTTTTATTGTGACAGGGCTACTCGTGCTATAGACTCATTAAATACACAGTAATACGTTTCATGAATTTACATTTCGTTGTTTTGATGATAATTAAGACTGATCCTAAACGAAAATTTAGCTTTACAAAAAATAGTGACAGATAAATAAAGGGACATCTAAAATTCAAACATAGGCTGCTTTTTATATTGGTCTGAATACTGCGGGAAGTGAACTCAGGATTTAATCCTTTTACATTAATTACTCCATCAATGTGGTGTGGCGTAGCTCCTCAGAGGGGTTTCGATCAGGTCACTATTCTGGCCAATCAAGCAAAGTGGTACTATGGCCCTGAAGCCACTTATTGGCGCTACAGGCAGTGTGGATGGGACCGATTCTTGCCGGAAAATGAAACCTGCATCTCTATTAGGGTTATCAGCATTAAATGCTCCAAAATTTCCCAAAATTTCAGACTGGGCTGACTTTGCATTTTAGAAAACTGTAACTGCGCATGGCAGTGAATGAAGATTTTTCTTTCACAATTTTAGTAAGGCTACAATGAATCTTGTTAATTGTGGATAATTTTCTGCCATATTTTTTCTTTCCACTTAACTTTCAACTAATATCCCTGGATCAATCGTTTGGTGTTTTTTTTTTTTTCTTTTTATACCATTGACCATTTGTGGCTCACCTCGTTATAGAGGATGCTAGTGACTGTAAGCATGAGAACCATCAATTCGCCACTGCCCCACTTAAAAAGTGGGTGACAGGTCTTTTCTGAGGAAGAACATTAAGAAAACTATAAGTGGAGTTTTTTTTTTCCATCTACTCTCCTTACACTAGTTTTTTTTTTTTTTTTTTTACATCCACTAATTGAGCAAGGTGAAACACATGTATGATGCAGACTATATTAAATACTATTCCCCTGAGGAACAAAGGGACGGCGAGTGAATACATGATCTCTACAGGATCAACACATAAATTGTCAAGTTGCCAAGTAATGAAGATAATCAGCTGGTGGGGTTATCATGTGTCCAGACGCTGAAATTTACACAGCTGAGCCTCTCCCAGTTCTGGTGCTTCACTGTGATGAGGAAGTGATCCTCACTGTAAAACGCCTGGTTCACTTCAGCACCACCCATATCTGTGAATGTGACCTCAGTGTTGCTTTCTCTGCGATAACTCCAGACGTTGAAAACAAGCCAAACATGCTAATTTTTCTAATCAATTCATGCACATTCAAGTTTATGACTTTAGTCTTACAAAGTCTTACAAAGCGCTGTCTAAGATGTTTCACAGATCACTATTTTTTCAGGATTGCGCTACTGATAGGTAATCAGAAGAAAACATAATTTTGTGAACCTGAAATGTTTTTAAATTGGACCTTGTTCTCATTCAGCTTTTATATTTGTTGGAAAAAACTGATAGTGAAGAAACAGGTTGTCTTTCAACAGCGGTTATAGTTTCAGTGGACTGAAACTACACAATTTGTTTAGGTTAACAGGCTTAATGCTGACTGCGCTGGCTGTTATGTCAACCTTGATTAACTCCTGAATAAGTCTCAGCTCGTCAGTGAGGGGTGATGGTGAGTCCCGAACCCTGATTAGTTAAGAAGCTCAGGCCTTTTTCTGAATTTAACGTTGATGTTTCCCACCTTGTTCTCCATAAGAAAACTGCAGACAGTGACTGAATGGAGAGGCTTTAATTAAGAAATAATAAACTGTGTGGGCTTCTGCTGTAGCTACACATGATCAGAGACCAAGTACCTACACTGGTTTCACTCAGCTAAGAGCTTTGCTCTCTTTTTATCCCATTTATATAACCATAACAATAATCTTCCTATATGATTTGGAATGTCTTCCAAGAGGAAATTATTCAAATTGCTTTGACGTTACCAGGGTTGTAGAAAGTCCATTTTTACAAATGTGGGCAGATACGTGGACATCCTTGTCGCAGGATGAATTGTGCACGTCTAATCACTTTTGTTTCCAGCAATCAGTCTCATCGGCGAGTAGTTACAGTAGGTGTATGAATATTCATCTTAGCAGCATAGAGGGAGCTGAGGAAGGTCATGGCTCTAAATTTCAGATCAAAATAATTAGCAAGTGAAATATTAATTTCTCTGAAGGGGCCTAGGGGTTAACTCAACCGAAACCATTTACTGCCGCTCTTGTCTCTAAGCCTCTTGTATGACATTGCTTTTTTAATGGGACTCTAGCTATAGCCTCAGCAGAAGAATCCTGATGGATTTCCACTGCTCCTCTGTCAATTTATTGCTTATAGACATCCAATAAAAGTGGCTCAAATAGTTTAGGCTGAATGGGTTTGATGGTAGGACAAGTGAGCCATCCTCTGGCCTTCCAAATGCCTCTTTCTATTCATCCCCCTTATTTTATCCATCCATCACTCCCCAATGACCCCAGTGATCAGTATATGTTGCTTGTTAGCCGTCGGTGGTTCTGATATACTTGGTGCATGTGGGAGAGAGAGCAGAGGGGAGGGAGAGAGTCAAAGCATCCAGTCACGCAGCCAGAGCACCGCAGGATCAAGCTAATAATGAGGCAGCTGCTCCTCCAGACCCGACATGTGCTGCTGCATGGAGGTCTGCTGACAGAGATAAGTTTCTCCTTGCATTCCTCCTACAGCTCATGAACTAACAGGGTCTTCCCACAACCAATCCATGATACCGCCAATATCTAGGAAGAGAGATTAAAATCCACACAGTGCAAGAATGGCTGGATAAACTTTAAAGTGAAAATATCTCAAACGTCTTCTTATCCAGCGCAATGTGCTCCCTTGGAAAATGAATATCGAAAAAGTAAGACCCTGCCTTGTGCTTCAAGTCCCAAGTCTGACCGGTTTTTCTGGGTTGGTGAGAGAAATATGCAAACCTCTAGACAGATCTGAAAACAATTCTTGTCCCATCTCAAATGGCACCGTAAAGCTTAGTATTCTGTTCGTATTTCTTGGAGCGTTGACAATGCAGGCCAAACAGGTGACATGCACATCAGTCATAAACTTCAAGCCACAGGAAAATAATGTTCTGTTTTATGGATATATAAGAGAAATGGCCCCAAGCCAAACCAAGCTCAGCATATTTAATGTGCCAGTGTGTATGCGTGTACGAATGTGTGTAGAAAGAGTGAGATGGAGACGCGTCAAACTTTTCTCTCTCTCTCTCTCTCCCTGCCTCTCCTCTTCCTTGATGAATTATCAATGCTTTGAAGTCATCAGTATGCAGAGGCCAGATTCACAGATTCAAAGTTGGGATCACAGACTTATCCCTGCAGACAACTAAAAACTGGCGTTCTCAAACACTGAATTTAGCTCTTCTCTGTGTGCTGGTAGGAACATGAACATGCATCTTAATCCTGTTTGGCTGCAAATTCCAAGGAAAGATTTGTGTTTGCAGAATCTCACAGTTTTGCTGAGCTGTATTTAAATGCGCTGAGGTGAAAATGAATTACAATCATAAGTGAAACACTCAGTGATGCAGGCTTGCTATGTGAGGAATGAGCACGAAAGAAAAAAAGCAAAGCTGCGACTTTAAAATGTACTTTTTGCTCAAATAGAAACATCGATAAACTGGACAGGTTAAATTTTCCGGCAAAAACCTTCAATGTCAAATGAAAATCTCATCTTAAACTAATATTTACATTAATATAACTTTCCAACTATTTGATAGTTCATAGTTCATATCCATCACTTATGGATGTTTATGTTAAGTCCAGAATCTAAAAAAATATTTTACCTCAGTGCTTTTGCAGTCTTTCCATGACAAATGTATGTGTTTATAATAAAACACAAAATGCACAGAGTACAGTCATTATACATAGTCTGCATTAATAACAAGGATTTAGCTCGCCTCCATTCTTCACCTGAGACTGGTGCAGATGGTGCTTTACTGACATTCTAATACATAGAAAATAACCTCGTCCACACCACACACAATCAGCGTTTTATATCCCCGTGTTCACTGCTTCCCATTCTTATGTATTTTGCTTGCGCAAAACCAAAGTGATTCATCACCTCTTTGCCACATTAAGCATGCAGCAGAGGAGTCAAGTTCTTTACAGAAACTTGGTTACTGAGCGCAGTGATATTTAATGTGTAGTCACTCATTTTGTGTCAGCTGGGAACAACTGTCAAAACCTGCATCTGTGTTATTACCGGTGCAGCTATTAAATGTAATTACCGGGTTAAAAAACAGTTCTGTGTTCAGATGCACTAAGCGGCAGACGGGAACAGAAAAAGGTTGCTTGCTCACATCGCCGCAGGAGATTGTTCAGAAGGTGCTCATGTGGAAAAATGATTGCAGTGTGTTGAGGGATGTCACTGCTCATCATAATTGAGGTGGACAGTGTCTGGACATGGTATATTTACCAAGTGGAAACTTATCCATTATATGACCAGATGACAAGTTTGGCTAAAGCAGGCAAGAGAACAGACACCTGAGTGGCTGGATGTAAACACAAGGCTTTTCTAAAGGACAAATCTGGACATCAGTAACTCGGATTGGGCAGAATAATATATTAATCAGACAAAACATTGCACTCTTAGCTGCAGTGTTCACCTTCACAGCTTTTCAGCTACTTATATTGTGTAACAAAAGAACCACAAATTTTAGCTCATTTTATTAAGAGTTGATGTTGTAGATGGTGCACAAGACCAGACCATCGACTTTTAGATGAACCCTTCACCAAACAAACTTGACTGATAAGTTAGAAATGCAGTAACTTGTTTTAGAGGAGTGATTTGTTTCAGACAAAGATTATTTTATATTAATATCTCCCTCTGACAGTAAGGGGTTCAGCCAGTGGCAGCTCTGCACCTGCAAGATTCATTTGTACTGTTGATCCTGAGGGAGCCGGTCTGGCTCTGGTTGAGAAGGGGCGATGGGACTCAGCAGTGGGACTGGGAAGGCGCCAACAGAGGCACCTGCTACTTGTTAGGAATATGTGCTTTCACAGCTCTCCAAAAGTTTTCAGTAACACCAGAAACTGTTCAGGGTTGCCTTGTGTTTAGCACCTATACGTTATCAAATCAACTTGAACCATGTCCTACTGTCTTTCATCAATAGCTTTGTGTGTGTGTTTCTTAAATAGGGCAGATCTGTGGAGTGTAATACAATTAGTTATCCTGGCTATAGTTACCTCTACTACTTTGCTTTGGACTACCACATAAAATCCAACTAACAGGTTTAACTTTGTTGCCAAAACATGACAAATCTAAAATGGTATCCATTTCTTTTCCCCAAAGCACCATACGTGAGCAAATTGCTACATACTGTAAGGTATAGTGTGTCTAGCTGCTGTGCAACAACAAGAGCAATTTGTTATCTGTGTCTTAAAAGCTCCCTCATGGGAATGTGTTCGCTTCTCTGGATACACCAACATTCATCAGCTTCTGTCACAGTCTGACACTTTTTGATTTGTTGTTATTCAATGACAGCTGCTGGAAAACACCAAAACTGTTTACCTCACAGTCTTCATCTGGAAGTCAAACTACTGTAACTCATTAAGCCATACAGTATTAGTTAACTCTATGCGATATCAAAACTAAATTCACATTTTCTTTAAGTCTCTATACTGCTGTGAACTTGACATGAACAAACAACAGACAGCCCCCAACTGCAGCTCACGCTGTGACGCCAGAGTCATTAAAAAAAGCATCTTGATGTTGTTCGTGTTTAGATAAGTGAGATTTCATTTGTGATCAACATTCAAGAGTCCTAACGCTGAGAGAAACAAATGCATGCAAGTGCTTTACCACTTAACATTTCACTTCTTTGTGACACATTGCATGACTGATTCAGATGGCAGTGAGACACTGTTTGAGCAGTCATGCATAACTGAGGTTATTAGTACACTTGCAAAGACATCCCTGAGAAGATATTAATGGAGTAGGGAGAATAAGAAAATTCAGTCATGAGTCTGCTCAGATCATCATCTCCATCAACACTGCAGCTCTCACCCTGAGGGTAGAAGGAGACTCACTTCTTTTTAATCTACATATAAATTAGAGAATTTACTCTATGTAGTAATGACAAAATGTTCACATTTTACTATGAACATTTGTGAATTCATATGTGCTTTAGCGTATCAAAAACTTGCTTGAAAAACATAAGAAAACAAAGAAAGAGCAACACGAAAAATACACATTTCTGACTTTTAGATTCCTTGGAAATTACAGCTTAGCTTAGTCAGCTTGTCCTCTAGCTTCATATCTGACTTATATTTATTATTCATGGATTACAACACTTTCATTAATTAGAAAAACAAATCATTGAAAATTGCAAGCAGTTTAAAGCGTGCTTACAAAAAGGTATGCGATGCTAAAGCAATGACTGAGATAAGCAACACAATATATTAAAAATGCAAGAGCTGTGTACTGCTGACAAGGGACAAATAAAATGTTACCTTCTTTGTCAAAAATTCCCAAGTGACAAATGAAGAACAGAATGACTTTTGCTGACTGAACTTCTGTAGTCCTGATTTCACTTTTTTATGACAAAAAGAAAGGTTGGTAATTTCGGTCAAATGCAGTACACAAGGTGAAACACAGTCCTTTTCTTTTATTTTTAGTACTTTTATCATATACATGGAACTGCGAGTTCCATTTTTTTTCTGACCGAGTTCAACTAAATGGAGAAATCAAAACATTTTCAGGCAGAACTCCTACTCACACACTCTCAATCTATACACAAAGAAATGTCTCCTGCAAATTTCTGTAATTACTGTCATAACTAGCCTGTTAGGAGGTAGAAATTAAGGTAGAAAAGAGCAACTTACGCAAGCACTGAGGCAGGTCTCCGCTCCACGTGCCATTTCCTGTGCAGGTAAGCACAGCAGGGAAGGAGAGTTCATACCCAGGTAGGCAGCCATAGCTTACACTGGACCCCCACTCCAGGACGGAGCCCTCCAGCAGCCCGTTGGGGATGGACGGTGGAGTAGGACAGGTCACCACTGTGAAAACAGTCGGCACACATTTACAAGCTTGTCAAATAATGATTAATAGAAATGTAGCATCCCGTAATGTAACAACAGCAAGCATAATGGTCTGTGTTCATTCAATAATAATAATAATAATAATAATAATAATAACAATAATAAGAAGAAGAAGAAGAAGAAAAAGAAGAAGAAGAAACAACAAGAATGCCGTAATGTTTTTGAGCCAATAGTATAATAACAATAACAATCTGCCAAAAAGCAACTGAACCAATCAATGGACTTCATTGGTAATAATAATAATAACAATAATAATAATTATTATTATTATATTGTGTACAACAAACAATTCTCCATAGTTAAGGAATATTGTAGGAACATGAATGAATATAATCACTAGGGGTGATGGACATGTGTTATGACCTGGTAAAAACCAGCCTATTGCACTATTCGTTGCTACGTACAGAGGGTCAGCTATTGAGAAACAATTGCTTCCTGGACATGTGGACTTTTTTGCAATTTTACATTTTATCCAATCACTAACGTTTGTTTGTGATCTATGTAATGCGCCAGTTTGAAGCCTACCGGAAATTGCCTGCGCTGTAAACCACCGTCTGCTAAGAGAGAAGTGACTGTTGGAACGAGACGGCTGTTAATGTTGATTCAATATTTGGAAGTCCAACAGGACTGAACGGCTTCCTTCACTCCCACTGCTGCCATTGCTAAAACTACAGGCAGGCTACAACTCTAAAACAGAACAATCAACGTCATTGTTCACAACGTTTTCTGTTCACTGATTGGATCAGTAGAGTTTCTACCAGAGGAATCTAAGTAATTGGGAGGAAGACCAGACTGAGCTGTAGGAAAAATCTGAATAGAGTGGAATAGCAAAGGAAGGCAAAGGCCAGGCAAACTGTGCAAAATCTGCAAAAAGTACCCTATTTCCAAGAAATTCAGCATATTTATGTATTATTACATTATCACTTACAGTGAATACAATCGCAAAGAATTGTTTTACTTCAGCAACAGAACGAATAAAACATATTAGGTTATTGGCAATTTTTTTATGACTAGTGCTTTAAAAACTTGACTATATTAATGCCCAATTATTATGTCAGTGGTTTTAATACAGTTAGGTTGAGTTAAATTAGAATACTATGACAGTTACTGAATTAATCAAGCGAAACATATTATACAGATAAATTACAGACTGAAATTTCCAGATTTTTATTCTGTCAATTATGATCTTTCATTTATAGCTAATAAAATCATGTAATTTAAGATTAAAATATTACATTGAACTAATAAAACCAATTTTAAATTCAGAAATGTTATTGCAAAGTATGTTTAATAGCTTCTTGAAGGTTGGTATTTTCAAAAAATTATTTTAATCTGACAAGCTAGGTTAATAAAAAAAAACATTTGAATTTACTGTGAGCACATTAAAAACTAGCAGAAATTGTTAAATTATTGTCAGGTGTTACATTAATGGTTATTATTAGATCATCGGTCCATGTTTGCACATACTGTAGAGATGTTTGAGTCAAAAAGGGATTAGGAAAGCTTTGGAACGTAAAACCAAAACAAAAGAAGAACATACAATTACATTTTAGAGTACTTTAGTTACTATTTACATTTCTACTTTTCATCAGAAAAACAATGTCTGAAAGTGAAACAACTGATGGGGAAACTTTACATTTTAACCATAAAGCAGACAGATGCTTCCGGCTTTCAGAACAGACCGACTTATAACTCAGAACATGCTTACAAGTAAAAAGGTGAAAAATATATGGCAGCCTGTGGAGACCACATTATGATTCTGTGCATAAAACCTAAAAACTGGGAGCTTTTTGAGAAATAAGGCACTTTTTTTTAAAGGAAATAAGAACATTTCAATGTGTTCCACATGCTAGTTTTTATACAGATCCAGTTGGGAAGTTTGATGAAAACCGTTTACTTTAAATTTAAAAATGTACCAAAGGACAACAAAAGCTCTGCATTGTCTATATCCATTAGTGGATACAGACGAATATGGCTTTAAACTTGATGTTGTAGTTTTATGTGATGTTAAATACATGTTTAAGTTGATTATAAAAAGTTTTAGGTGTTAAAATGGTGATAATCTATATCTATTTCTCTTTCCCTCGCAGAACATTTCCACAAAAAAGCATATTACCTAAACTTTAATCAAACTAAGTGCAATAAAGCATAGCAATAGTTCAAGGACATCAAACAGGAACGAGTTTCCATTTTACATACTGTACAGTTAGACCAAATGGAAACTTGTGTTTTGACTGAACAATTTTTTCCTTTTTCTGTTTACAGTTTATTGAATATTTGTGAGTAATCTGGGGACATTTTGTGGCTCTGCAAGCTGTAAACTTTCTGCTCAACAAATGTAATAAATAAATGCATAATAAAGCTCTGAGTTAGTTCTCACACACTGGCACATGGGCCCATGGGGCTGCAGTCTGGCTATGGGTTTTAAGAATGTGAATACATTATGGCAGTTCTTTAAATTTGTAGCTATTCTCGTGCAATATGAGTCTCACTGCAGATGAGCAGAGTTCGATCCCCAGCAGCTTTAGTAAACATTATTTAGAGGAGACAATCCTTTCTACAGGTTTACCTAAGATCAGCGGATGACGAATCCATTGCATGACTACAATCTTTACCCCATGCTGTACTGTGTATGGCGTGGTAGTTATTTTATCTATAAACATTTGAAGCTTCTGTAGGTTTGAAACTCAAAGAAAACAGACTACAGTCCAAATATTAACTGATAGCTGAAAATGAAATTTTAATTAGAATGATAAGAATGAGTGTGTTTTAGCTCCAGCTCTGAATTATATTGTCTTGTATTGGAGTTTCAGGTTGCAGACCAACACAAAACAATGCATAGCTTTCAAGAGGAAAGGAAACAATATGTTATATATATATATATATATATCTTTCTCTATAGGTAAAACACTGAAAAGAGTGGCACAAACAACAATTTGTAATCTTTTGCTGTAAGGTACAGCTGTAAATTGTGAAGGGTGTCTTTGTCTGCTCTGCACAGTTTCTACAGACTAAAATTCTTTGATTTTCACAAAACAGTTCAAACCCAGTCAGACTGGATAAGAAAAGGCTGTGAACAGCAATACTCAAATCTTGGCACAGTTTTACAACTTTGACTGGATTTGGCCATTCAAACATGAATATGCTTGAGCTGACTGTTTTGTGTGTTGTAAGGTAAACTTTTATCTTAATTGTTTTGCAGCTTCTAACAGGATTTCTTCCAATGTTGCCGTGTATTTCCTCTCCATACATCCTGTAAATATCGCCAATCAATTTTCTTGTCCCTAATAAAAAAATGCATCAGATTATCAGGAAGATGATACATTGTGTTTTGCATGAAAGCAAATTAAATTTGATCTACCGCATCTCTCATATATATGCATATAATTTATCTCTTCCTTTAAAAGAATATGGTTTCTTACTTAAAAATTGTAATCAATTAAACTGAAGTTTATTGTTGTAAAATGACAGCAACTGTGAAAAAATTCAAGGATGCAACGACTTTTATAAGGGACAACGTTCTTGCCACATTTTTTGCTTACTTGTTTGTTTTCCTGAAGACTGAGTAACAATGAATATGGAACAGACCACAGTGGGATATTCACTCATTGTCTCCAAAGGGGAAGCGTCTTTTGTTCTTGGTTGGCTGCAGTTCCAGCTCCATTTCCATGTGGACATTTACACAGCATATATGCTTCACAGGTACGCTATGTTTACAAAGACATTCAGGCCGTGGTGTAATTAACTGTGATGACGTTAATAAGCTCTGGGAAAAAAATAACACTTATGAAAGGTGGTTACTGTACATCAGACTACCTGTATTCTCCTAGAGTAGATTTGTGAGAAAAAAATCCAACAGTGGCGAAGTCAAAGTAAAAAAGAAATGGTTATTCTAGTAGGTATGTTACACTGATGATAGAGGTAGGCTTTCTAATCTCTTAAGTGCAGCTTTAGAAATGACACAAAAACAGAGAAGGAGAAAAAAAAAGCTTCAGGTCTGGGTGGCAAGCAGAACTAAATGAGAAGAAGAGAGTGGCCCCATTTTCCAAAGTAATTCTAAGCAGCATTAGAGCATTAGTCGCTCTCAGCTGAACATGCCAAACCTGGGATTCAGACTGATCCTATGTTGGGATCACACTTTGGATGCCTCGTCTGTGTGTATGCACATCACAGACAAACTCAGCAGCTAGAACTGACGTTCACACATTATGTGCAAAATTATGCACAGAGTAAAACCTCTTTGTCTCCTCTTTGTCTCCTCGAATCTCCATTTGTCTCTGTATGTCTTTCCTCCTTCTACTCCCCCCAACCGCCAGCGTTTTAGCTCATACTCCTTTGGCACGTTATCCCAATCTGTGACAAGATGACAGATGCCCAGCTTCCCGTCACTTTTAAGCAGCTCAAACTGCCTGACTGCTGCACCTTTAACTTCAAGCTAGTCGTGCAAAATAAAAAGGCAAACAATTCTCCTAGAATAGCCGGTCTTCTGATTAGAAGAGAAATACAGATTTCCCTCATGCACCTCTAAAACATGCTGCTGTGTAGGCTTTGGAAAAAGTTGAAAGAAAAAAAGTTCTGCAATTAGCCGACTGGATTCTTATCGCTTGTTATAGATGGTTTTAAATTACAGTGAAAATAAAGGAAGAAAAGGCCTCGTAATATCTGTGTTTTGCCTTAATATCTCATCCATATTGAGAAGTAGTTAAGCGGATGTAGAGCACACACTTAGTAATCAAACTTCTCCCTTCTGCCTTTCTTTTATTCATTTACTTCATAAGATAAATAATTGCTACTGGAGAACCGAGAGTGAGAGAAGAGGCAGCAGCGACCCTATAGGTCACTTATTAATGTGTGCAGGTCAACGTAAGTGGACAGCACTACGGACAGCGGTGATGATGGAAAAAAAGAAGAAAAAAAAAAACACAGGCAAGTGTGAAGAGCCTGTGAATATGTATGCATGAGAGAGAGAAGGCCATAGCTGCAAGAGGTCTTTTGACTGTATGAATGCATCGTGGTGTGCGTGACAGGAAAGCTTAGAGTCCAGAGTTACCTCCTCTTCAAATCAACCCCAGGTAGGATAGCAGGAGCAGGGCAGAGTGTAAGAGCTGCAGCAGGAGCTGTCAGCTGGAGGTTAGATTTAGAAACTTTCACATACATGCCTGTGCACATGTAGCACACACACACCGGCTCAGCCTCCCTCACTTTCTCTCGTTCTCTCTGTTTAAACAGATGTGGGTAGCAGTTGGGCAACTATCAACTCATCAGGCGTCTTCGGCATATAATGGAACAGGTTTTGTGAATAATGAAAAACACGAGTGAAATAATTCAACTCGCTGTCAGTTTGGATGTTGTAAACGCCTGAGCAAGGGCAGATGAGGAGCTTGAGAACAATGAGAAGCGTGCGGCTTTAAATCTTGAGGTAGAGCAAAGGAAAGAAAATGGCTATTTAGGATCCAAGCTGCATCTTATGCACAGGCAGCTGAAAAACAAGCCTGTGTTTGATTTTCAACAACTTTCAGCCATTCTATGCGTACATATCTCCAACAAGTTGTTAGGTTTGTATGTGTACATGATAGTCTCTCAAACTCTGCCACCTTTCTCACATTTAATTTGTCCCTTGCCATTTCTCAAGAGGCAAACATAATAAGAGTTTGCCTCTCTGTACAGTCACTGACACAGCAGCCTCCAAACAGTTCCTTAGCAACAATAAGCCACCATTTGCCTTGTAGGCTCTTTTATTTCCCGGTGTACATCTGAACCATTTTCTGCACGAGTTAATCTTTCCTGCAACACCTACTTTATGGTGTCAGCAGCCGAAATGCTAATCTATGCCTCCACTCTGGGATCATAAATCATAGACTGATGTAGAGCTGATGGGTGTAAAACTACTAAGCTCACTTCCAGGATTTTATACCACTGCTGGAATGTGCAGTAACTTTCACAAAGGGAGACAATAACTTATTATTTAATTGCACATTGAGAGACATCCATGTTGTTTGTCTAAACACAGAAACGTAATATTTTATTTAATAGTTTTTTTCTATCTGGACGTAACATTTAAATGACAGGGTTATTACCTGGTCATGCACATTTTAAATGTAACTTATTATTTTTTTTTTTATGATAGACAAGTTAAGCATCTGAAGTTGAAAATAAAGCTGAAAATAAAACAAAAAATGCTTAATTTACCTTTCAAATTTTGATATTATAAATAACATTAAGTAACTGGAGTAATGGACTAAAAATCTAAACAATTACTAGATGGCTCTCTTGCATTATGTTATTTATTAATTTCCTGCACTCTCAGTGTAAATCTGAGTTGCTATGTTTCCTCAAATACTCTAAATTGTGCTTTAACACTTTAGTTTGAGGTGCGAGACGAACAAGTCTAAAACTCTGAGATTATAAAACACCTTCACAATTTCTTCTAGAATAACAAAAGCTCTAAGTTTTTCTATATTTAATTACAGCATACAATGTCGCCTTCACCAACCTAACGTGCGTCATTTAGGATCTCTGGTATTGGTGGCAACCTCAAAAATGCTCAAAATTTGAGCAACGTTCTACCAGTTTGCAACAGATGTGTGCAGGCGCAGTACCAAGGATGACAGACATCAGAAACAACTGTAGAAAAGCAATTGTTGCTGCTCATTAATTTTGAAAGGGTTATAAGGTAATTGCGAAACAATTTAAGTCCACCATTATACAGTGCAAAAGATTAATTACAAGACAAACACATTGCAGACAGCTGCAAATCTCTCCAGGCTTGAAATTAACTGGCAAATTCACTCCAACATCATATTGTGCAATTCTCTGAAAAGTTGACTCTCCAGGCCTTACCATGTTCAATGGAAGAGTTCATGACAGGACAATGAGGGGAAAAAAAATATTTATCATTTCTTTGTAAAGTAGTTCCCTCTAAAAATAATGCAGGTACAAAACTTAGGTTTGCATCATTACAAATGACTGGTACCATTTCCTTTAGACAGATGAAACCAAAGCAGAGATGTTTTGACATAACGGAAACAAATGTAGAATGAACTAGAAATAACATTTCAGCACAGACTTCAATGAACAGAAACAATTTTCTCAAGGATTCTTTCCCAACAAAGCCGAAGTTAAAAAGAAGATGGCTGCTTGAAGTTAGTGCTGGTAGTTCTTCAAATGCAGCAATTTTATTTTGACCTTTTTGTGGTTTTGTTTTAAATTATTAATAGAGGAATCTAGTCTGTTTTAGTTTTACACTTCGAGTTACATTTAAACAAACGTTTGACCCCGATAAAGACCAGATATTTTTAATTTTCTCCTGCTCAGTAAAACTCCTCGAACTGAAAAAGTTACATCACTTAGGTTTCTAGTAATAACAGCACTCATTGTTTGCAAACTGTTGACTTTTGTGAACTTGTAGACATCTGATGTAATGTGTCAAGGGCCAGTGCATGAAATAAACACTCCACCTCTACCTGAACACACAGGAAGTCCAGTGTCACCTTTGTTGCTAATCTTATCAAACATCAAGTAGTAATTTAATGTGACGCTGTGCTAGTGTGCCAAGGTTGTTGTAACAAAGCCTGATGGTTATCAAGATTGACTGCATTGCAAAACAAGTATGAGTCGACTGCAGAACAAAATGGGCTTACCTTGGCACGATGGCATTGTTCCACTCCAGGTCCCGTTGTTGGTGCAAGTCCTAGAGATGGTACTTTCCCCTCCCATGATCACAAATCCTGGCTGACATGAGAATGTCACATTCTGACCAATTGTGACGTCGTCACCAAATCGTAGCCCATTTGCTGGGATGCCAGGGTCGCTGCAGGTGATCACTGCCATTGGTCGACAGAAACAAACAGGTTGCATTAGAACCTATTCTGAAAACTGTAGAGTGAATAAAATGTATTGAGTGAAAAAATAATGAAATACAGTTTTCATTTGTTTTCACATAAGTTCTTCTGCCTATGACACACTGAAAAGACTAATAGGAAATTTGATGATGCTAGATGCAGAGCCATGGAAAACATTTAGGAGGTTGCAAAACATCTTACATATATATATATAAATACACATATACACATATATATATATATATATATATATATATATATATATATATATATATATCAAAACGAACTTGTGTGATGATGCGACAGTGTCTTGTCCTCATCCAGCCGAGTGACGGGCGTGATTCGTGCATGTGAAACTTTGAGCTAATACACCTGCATGTGCACATGCCTGCACAACAAAGTTTATATGGACTGGCAGCAATAATAAAAATATGAAACAATGAAATCAATTTAAATAACTTTAAAGGCATTGTAGAAATGCAGAAGAAAGTGGAAAATCTTTCTCTTGTTTTTCCATTTTTCATTATCGGGTGCAAATAGACAGAGTTTGTGATGATAGTTTAAACATTTATCTGACTGATTGAGCTGTGTAACTGTAAATAACAGAAATGGTTTACATAAATCAAATTATGAACAGCACCTATACTTATTCGTTAGCAACAGTATATATTGTAAGAGTAAAGAATGGCTGAACGGTAGAATTTTGTTCGGCGATGTTTATCAATGAATAGGTGGTAATTATGCTGCGATGATTAGGAAGTGCTAATTGCTCCCCTGCAGTCTGTCACTTTTGCGGTTAAAAGTGATTTAGAGCAGCTGTGAGCCACTAACAGATTCATCGCTGTTTCAACATACTGTATGCGGTGCTGCGCTGGGTGTCGCCTTTTATGTGCTTTTGACAGGTCATTATTCAGCTGCTGGAAAAAAAAAATTAGCAGTTTGTTGACCTATGGGAGATGTTGCTCTGCAACTCTGTATTTTTTTATGACAAGAAGTTATTTACCTTCTATTAAGGCGTAAAAAAGCGTATTTAAGTAGGACATAAAAGAGTTAGCAAACTAATGTGGTAAAACTGCGTTTTAGTTATAATTTCGGCCTTAGATAGGGCATTCAAATTAACCTCCATCAATTAGTTCTATTTGACAAATCAAACCATTGTAATAGTAAAGTAGAAAAAAAAGCAATGGATAAACACAGGATAAAAAATTATAACTACAGTTAAAGTATAGCATTAATAATACTCACCAGAAAAACTTGAATGATAATCTTTAATAATTTAAAATTTTTTAATTATTTTATTCCACATGCTGTGAACAAAGGATTAGTGCTGGACGCTCAATGGAATTTTGAAAAGTTTCCCTTAATTGGGAAACTTAAAATTAAAAAGTACAAAGATGCAAAGACATAAAAGGAGGGGATTTAAGAATTACGGCTCTTTAATATCTGGAATCCTCGCGGTCAGTGCTCAGAAATGCAACTGGACAACCAAATCCAAACAGCCACAGTGTGGCACTTGGGGTTTGGGAGTTATTGCTCAGAACCTTAAACATGTAATCAAGGGAGCTCTCGGTGCAACAGAGTGTGTTGGATGAAAAGCACATAAATCAATCGGAGAAACAGCAGGAGCACTATGAAGTGCCAAACAAATAGATTGGTGCGTTCTTAAAAAACAACTACAAAACAAAAGAGCAGACAGGACTCCAAAGCACTGAATGACAATTTTTAAAATTTGTTGGAGTAAGGATGCATCCAAAAGTCGCATCCCTACTGCACTTGAGCACTAGAGTTGCAGACCCCTGGCTCAATGCCTTTATTGAGAGAAAGAGCCGGGGTAATCCAGAATTTTCTCTCAATATTGACGCTCCTTCCCAACCTGTTGCTGGCAAGTTGATGGAAAGAAGGCTAGTAGACTTTTCCCTTTTCACATTTTAGGATGTGTTAAAAAAACAGACAGCCATGGTGGGAAAGCTAAAGTAGTGCCACTTGTGATTCACTTTGACTCAAGAAGTAATAAAATACACTGTTATTAGTTTGAGTGGCTAGCCTAATAACTGAACGCATAAATAACAAAACCCCCAGATTTCCTAATTTGGAGCCGGTACGCCGTTAAGCTGGGTTTGATGTCGTTCCAAGATCCCACTTCAGACTAGATAAATTGAACACCGCATTAGGACTTGTTCTTGGTTTACTGCTGTCAACTTCAGTTAATAAAGGGAGTACTTGAAACTTTCTCTAATCCTACTCCTTATTTTTAGAAGGCTGTAATGAAGCAATGAAGAGTATTCTCAAACACATTATTCTGGCTATTGATGTTTGACAGGGCTACATCACAATTCAAATTTTCTGAATTATCCCAAAAGTAATGAACACCAAAATCTTTTTTGATTGGCCCAAGTGCCACTATAGATACTTGTGCCACGGTTTAAGAAGTCATCTAATATTCTGATATGTAATGACAATACATAACCACAGTTTGTAGTTCAGCAAGAGCCATCATAAATTCTACTAAAGGACTGAAAACGCTCAGTTTCAACTGCGCTGTTTGACCTAAGTGAGAGATGTCTGTGTTTTTAATAACAGAGGCAGCAGTTACACAGTATTTTTCCCCATACGTCCTAATTGGAAATGTCCTATGGTAGATCTAATTTGTCAAATTAAAATTGAGGGCCCAGCTGAAATAAAAATAGTAGTGTTGATTATTTTTTCACATGTTTGCTCTTGGCTCCTTCTCTTGGCTCAGCTTTCTCAAAACAAGCAGATGGCTAAGAGTTGGACGGCTACGTTGTCAGGTCTTACCCCAGCGCCATCGCTGATTAAATTATAGTTGTCAGTCTTTGACTTCACTTTTTTTGTGTGCTACTTGTTAAATCACACACAGGCTCTGATTTGTGGACACTTCTTAAACATTCTGGGGCAGGAGGGTTTTCTGCATATGGCTGTCTCTGCCAAACTCTGGTCCCCTAAATCAGTTTGTTTATTTTCAATTGCTCACAAGGAGTTTGACACTTACGCTGATCATGATTGGAAATGACTTGCTTTCTGTATACGAGCAAAAAAAAAAAAAAAAAAAATACAGTAAATCTTGGCAGTTAAAATTCCTGAATGAGAAATCTTATTTTACATACATGTATTTTTTTACACTATGAAGCAGGAAATTATATGCTAATTAGTTATAGAAAATCAGGAACACTGATTTTAGATCTACAGTATGTGTTTGCGTGACACAAGTTCTATAAATCTATGTGCTGGGCGCCTTTTGTTTCTTTGGATCAATCCAACACCGCATCCTCCATAAAAGGTTCCTGAACCCAGCATCCTGTATTGTGTGTCAGAAGAATAAATGGCTCTGCAATTGGCAATTATTTGATGCTTGATACGCAGTCATTTATAATATGCCTGCAGTGCACACAGAAACTAACCTGTCAGCCGTATCTGATTTTTCCTTCGACAGCACAGGCAGTGTGGGTAGTAAACTACTTTTTTGCGTCTCTCGCAGAAGTCATACATGAGCATATTTTTACACCCACGCAGGACAGTATCTGTTCATTTATGAAGTAACAGTGGCTTGTTTTTTTCTGTTAAAGCAAATATGTTGCTTTACACAACCCATGTTTTCAGTATCAAAGGGAGGGATTGCTCTTGAACTTCCAGCCTGAGCTTCATGAAATTTATAGAAGAATATGAAAACAGTACAAGCTATGTTAACAGATGACTAAGTCTCTCATTTGCAAATTACAGTCATTATATCTATGGCAGCAAGTCGTTTACCAGTGTGTTCGATATCCCCTGCCCACAAAGATCTCAGTCAGTAACACTTTTGAGCATGAAGAAAAAAAAAAAAAAACTTTTGTTTTCTATTTTTTAAGTGGAATAATTTCAAAGCTAGGGTGAGGTACCCTGAAAAATCAAGGCTATTGAAGGTTTTATAAATGTCCATAAAGCTTTTGTCATCTATAAAAGCAGCCTTTCAGGACAAAATGAAGGCTGGAGAGTTTAGTATTGGTAGATTTACTTGCAGCTGTGCAGCACTGTTTGAATACAGACCTTGAAAACCAGGAATAACTTCACTGCCATTGAGATAAAAACTGATGCCTTACAACAATTGTGTAAAATCGTATGTATTGTTTCTCAACAAAATGAGAACCCATCAAAAATGCCTAAAGTAATCCATCCTTAATGTTATTACACAACTTAAATTTTTATATAGAAATGGAGTCATAAGTGCTGTTTCTAGATTTCAGCCTTCCTGTGTTTGCTTGGATTGGGCCTACAGGCCTGCCAGCAGCAATGAAATCACACATCGGTTTTTAATTAAATCCTTGATTATTTTTTCCAAGTATGAAGTGCTGAAGTAAGAGCTGCATTTCTGATCCTATTTATCTGTTTAAAAAATCCTGCATTATCCTGCTCATCATCACAATTGGAGGTGAATTTTTTCTTTTCAAGGGCTTTGCGAAGAAAGCCCTTGAAACCCACAACTGTTGTGCAAATGTAAAAAATTACAACCACTAAAAACATGAGCCTTTGTAGGAAGTGTTGTGTCTACTTATGCCCAGATGATCAACACTCACAATTACTCTTAAAAAGATTTATACTTTGCTAATCTACTATATCAGCAGTCCAAGGTATACTTAGAGCTTTTAGAAGTAGATCACCACTTGAGTTTACCTCATTTCAGACCATTCACCTCCATTTTAGCTTAGCTTTTGCAAAAGGTATACAGTATAAACAGCACGATGTAAATCGGCTTTATGCAATTTAACTTCACCCTGGGAACATTTTACACATATCACACAAATGTTCTGCCAACAAAAGACACAGTATAAATACAAACTCTTTCAACAAAAATTGTAAAACAGGTAAAAAGGTTAGCAAATGAGACAATTTTCACAAATAGGTTTCAAACTATCTGCACTGAAATATGGCTTGCTGGTGAGATTTCTTCATTTTCTGCATCTTTAGCCATGTGTTGATGTGTTTTAGTGATTCTACTGATGCTAAATCACAATGACTTTAGCACTAACCCTAACCCCAAGCACTTTAAGCTCCATCAGAGAATGTGATTTGTCTTGTTTTGTTGTTTTATACGTGTTATTTTTAGCTATCTAGGATGCATCAACAGTAGTCTACAGGATGAGATCATTGTGGAAATTAGTTTAGAACCCGGTGACATCTAAATCCATTAATCCAGATATTATCTGAGGTTTTCACATCTGTCTGTTCTGCTAAGTACTAAATAATATGAAACAGATTGTGGACATAAATCAACAAAGCCACAGAACATCATCATAGAAAAAAAAAACTTAAGGAAGAGGCTCTATGTTTTTCACATTTCATATGACATTTTTATCCTTTTATGACTAATATTTTTGATAAAATGTTATTTCCCAAACATGCTTTATAAAAGTGTGTATACACAAGTGTGTATACACAAGCAAGAGTTAAGTGTAAAAAAAAACAAAAAAAAACTTTTCTTTTTCCCCTTGAAAATCTTGTGTGACTTTGATCTGCTAAGTTACATGATCGATTTTCCGTGAACCATGAAAATGACTGCCTCCCTAATGAAGGCACACTGAGCCAATCCCAGCATCTTAAGTGTTGATGTCCCTGAACTGACCAGTAAACTTTAATGTGAGCCGATAGTTAAAAGGGGAATCGGTTTGGTGATGAGCAAGCTTTCAAGTGAAGAAAAAAGAAAAGCTCCCCTGGATTCCTGCATGTTTGACCATTATTATTCAATCCACTTTTCAATCTTACTCTCCGTTGCCTTCTTCCCTGTGCATATCTCTCCAGAGAGCCATTTTACTCCAAAATTGAAAATTATGCCCATACAATTTATCTTTCTTGTGATACAATAATAGGCTAAAGGAAAAGGGGGAAACGAATATGGTGATTTTCAGAGAGAGGAACAATGTAATTTTCTCCAAGAGCCATCCTGGAACAAATTAAATATAGACAGGCATAGTTTTTACTTACTCAGAGACTTATTTGCTCAGGTCAAGACCACAAAAAATGCCAGCTTTGATATTTTAGTCCCAAGACTTAGGTTTTTCCAACAGTATTGTCTATTTTAGCTTCTCGGTTCAAACCTCCAATTGCCTCAATTTAGAGCAAACAAAGAAGAAAATCATCTGAAAGGAACCATTTATTCTCACGTTGGCTTTGATTATTCTGCTTCACACAAATAAAGGAAACTGTGCCTGTTCCAGATAATATACAAAATGAATAGAATTTCAAACTAAGGCTCCAGTCAAAATGCCTAGGTGATTTTATTTCCATTTACTTGTATCGATACACAGTTTCTTGAACTCAAAACTAAAACACACTATTATCAATGCTTCATCAGCAGCTGGCAAGAATGTACTTAATGCCTGCATCAGAACTGAAAAGAAAACAATCCTGAACATGGCTAAAGCAGTGCAAGACTAAAACTTATTTCTAGACAATTATATCTTGTTTTAATGTATGCCCATTATCCTTTTCTCTCTGTCATGAACTTCTTCAGCTTCCATTTGAAGTTAATTTAAAACAGTGAGGAATAGATTGACTCAGTTTCTGTTAGTTTTGTTAAAAGTTAAATGTGAGCAAGAGAAGTCCAAACAACAGTAGGCATAGCCAATCTTTAGCCTAGCGCAGCTTTAACCATGACCAAAAGCTTGATACTGATTGAATGTTGGAGGTGGGGAAGTTTAAAAAAATAAATAAATAAAATCAGACCTAAAGATCTTCTCTTCTCACCAAAAATTGCAAATATTTGGTGGTAGATGCAAAAAGAACTAAATATCCCAGTTTTGCCAAATTAGATAAGTTGTATATGACAAATTTTTACCTGGTATGCATTCAAACCATCAAAACCCAGATTTTCTACAACTTTTTCCTTTGTCAGTATTAATTCTTCATTGATCTATGCACATCTAATGACTATGGCAAAGCATAACCCATACGATACATATATACAATAATACCAGTCGCTGAACTGATTTCAGAATTGATTTCAGATAGAATATTTAACTGTGCATTTCACAATGTAAATACTAAGCATGGCCTTGACTCTTACGCAAAGTCAAAATGACCAGGAGACAGCCGAACACTCCTGCATCTGTGCAATACTTACTTGTACAGTTTGGAGCTGAGCCAGACCAGGTGCCATTTGCCAGGCATTGGCGAGTGGGTGATCCTGTCAAGAAAAATCCTTCCATACAGGAATACACAATGGAGTGGGAGAAAGTCGTGCCGTCCACACGGGAAATGTGGCCATGAGCTGGGGTACCTGGATTTGCACACTGTACCGCTGCCATGCAAGAGAGGAAACACAGGATGTGAAGGTCAGAGGTGTAAAATAGTAATGGATTTTCTATATCAATGATTCACAATCTGGGGGTTGGAGGCCCCCAAGGTGGCTGCAAGAATACTTCAAGGTGACTGAACTGTCGTAGAGTTTTTTTCCTTCCTTCTTTGCTATGTGAGTGCAAAGACTCATCAGTGAAATAAAGGCTGTTTTGGTGTTGGTCAGATAAATATTTTTGGTTCCTTTAGTTAGTCTGATTACCACTGGAACAAGTCTACTGGAAGCAGATGGACGTAACTAGCTAGTATCAACATGCATGCATCATCATATTGTATAGCCAGAAAACCTCCCAATGTTTGTGCCCTCTGCAGGAAAAAATGTCTGCTACTTGTCTGAAATATCATTTCTCCTGACTTCCTTCACCAAATTTGATGAATTTCCATGCAAATATTCATTTAATGAATTGAAATTCAAGCTGGAAACATTAACATCACCAGTTTGGTCTTGGATGGACACTGTGTTATGCATTGATCTAGCAAAGCAAACTTGGAGTTCTCTCTCCTTCACACACAATCATTCCTCAGTTTCAGTCATGGAAATTATTGTAATTTATGGGAGTCTAAACAAAATTTAAAAGCAAATAAAATGTAAATTAAGAGAGAGAGAGAGAGAATTCAACCGTAATTTCTGAACTACTGAGCATATCTGAATATAAGCAGCATCCACTAACTTTGACAATAAATAAAAATTGTACACATGAAGGCCACACTGACTATAAGATGCAGGTGTCCACATTGAAATATGAGATATTTGCACAGAAAGATGCGACACAGATTTTGTTATTTAACTTCTAATGAAATACGTATTGGTAGGATACACAGATATACGTGCCTGCAAAACGGCTGCTTAGGAAAATAAATAAATAAAAAAACATACAATAGCCTACCAGGTAAAGTCACTGATCATATCTTCCTCCTGCACATTAAAACCTCTAAAGTTGTCTTAGTGTTGGAAATGATTAGCCTCACACACACACACACACACACACACACACACTCGACGAATGTTTTCACCTGCGTCCCTGACTCGTCCGCAGTGACATCCCAGATCGAAG